CGGGATGGCGGCTATCAACTGTACGCTGGGCTGTACGGGAAGGCAATCGCCTTAGTGCACGGGAACAACAAAGGAAGGCGCGGGGAGTTGATGAGATCTCTAGGGCTCACGCACCCGGGTTGTCTGTCAGCGAGAGAGATGCCGAATCGGCCACTCTAGGAGCCGCTTGAATGCAGCAAGAGTCTGTTGTGTGCAGATGTCGGGCAGATGTCCGGCAGATGTCGGGCAAGTTGGGAGACATGTGAGTGCAAAGTCATTCATGCGGGTGCACGACGAGGGGAGACAATCAGGAGATGAGCCGCAATGCCGTGTCCTGGGCTCTCATCGCACGCTCTGAAGCAGGAAGCAGGCTGGTGCGGTGTTTGCAGATGTGAAGGGAGTAGCGAGGCGGATGGAGAATAAAACGGTTGAGAGATGAAGGCGCGGGCGGGGGTGAGGTTGCGTGCCATGTGCTGTGCGCAAATGACGAGGCCACCGGCACAAGGTTGAATGCAGTTGAAGCATGGATGGGGAGAGGGTCAAGACGCGACGGAGAGGAGAGAGAAACGCCACGTTTACACATGCGCCACCGCGCCCGACGGAAGGTGGGCAAAGGGCGTCGAGGAAAAGGGAGGAACGTGCGAGCGAGGCTGCAGCAAACCGTACACGGAACAACAAGAGCCAAGGGGGTTTGACGAGGAAAACAAGAGAGGACGGCCGGGATGTCTCAAGACGGGCGCGCTAGGCCACTTTTGGTGTATATGTGCGTGTGTGTGTGTGTGTGCGCGCGCGCGCGCGTGTTTGTGCAGATGTACGCGTGGGAGGATCGAGGACGGAGAGTGCGTTTTTTTTGCGTTTGGCAGGGTGTGTTGCGTTGCGAGTGTGGGCACAGGTGGGGGCAAGAGGGGGTAGTTGACGAATGCCACTCTCCAGGTTTGTAGCTGCATCAATCTTGCCTCGGGCACCTGGCTCGTGTCGTTTAATTCGGCTCGATTCGCGCCAACTCGATTGAATTCAAGCGCAGACCCACTTGTACCCACCTTGATGGGATCTCGTCGCGATCCCTTGACCGATGATCTCTTGACAATCTCGTTGAGGACCCAAGAAAGGGCGGCGCCACGAGTATTCGAGTGTGTGTGCGTGAAAGAAAGAGAGAGTGAGGGAGAGGGAGGGAGCGAGTCGGTGAATGTGCGGGAACGGGATCGAGTCTGCGCTGTCTGGACAACGGCAACCGCCGGGGCTAGCGCTCAGGTCACCCCATCAAACTAGCCGATACAGACAGGAAAAATGGGGTTTTGGACGGTCCGACACTTCAAGTAGCCCGTGCAGCTGTACGCACACACACACACACAGCCTCAAGCAACCAGGAGCCAGCGCAGGGCCAGACGTTGTACATAAATGGATTTAAATCTTGTCTCGGGGACTTGAGCGCGCGCAAGAGGGGTCCCAGCCAGTCCTAACCAACCAAAGTGTGTGCGCGTGGTGGTTCAGGTTCCGGTGGCGTGGGTACGAGATGGTGGTGGGACTTGACTAGAGGAGGATGGGAATAGGGCGCGCTGTGCTGACGCCATCAGTGGGTGAGAGGGAATCAAGCGAGCCTTGGTCGTCGAGGACCCTCAGAGGTGGTGGCTCAAGTCACAAGGCCACATCGATGACAGCAAGAATGCCACGCCTGACAGGCCTGTCATGCGGTCAAGCTGGTCGAGACTCGCAAGTGTCCGACGAGGCGTCAAGCCTGTGGGGGATACACGTCACTGGGCTTGAGGAGGGGAAGAATCAGCCCGGAAAGACAGGGCTTTTGCGTGTCGGGACGCACGCGGAGTGGGCTGTGACACTCGATCCTCTTCGGTGGCGGTTGGCGCCTGCCCGATTTGAAGGGAAGAGGACCCATAAAAAGTCATTAGCATCCGGCACACCTGTCAGGGCAGCATGCGAGGTCGTGACTTTCCGGAAAGATTCCTGAATAGATTCTCGCAAAGATACGCCATGGGATCCCCCCCCCTTTCCCTACCCTGCCCCTGCCCTGCCCTGCCCTGTTCTGTCCCGTCTCCTTGTGGACCACCTGTCGCGCACGTGAACGAGCATGTTTTTCTTGACTCCCACCGGGCAGGACAAACGTGATGGGTGCTAGAAATCACAGACCGGTTGGAGGGGGGGCTCGCACAATCCGAGCCCCAGAACCCCGAAGACCCCTTGAAAAGTTCAGCTCTTATGGCCATTGGCTCGGGGCACCCACGATCCCGTCATCGCGTGATTGCGGGCTGTGGGCTCTTTTGACTTTTCCATCTCGACCGGTGGCCAGCGACTACGCGTTGGGGGTCGGAGCACTTCCCATCACGCGCGCGTCAGGGCTCGCCGGTCCGGCATCGCCAGATCATCATCGCCAAAACTGTGGTGCTTGGCGGCCCCCTACACGCGGGAAAGCAGTCGGCGCATCGATGCAGAGTGACCCATGGCTTTCCACTGAATTGTGCCCCACACTTTCTACCACGGGTTCAACGTCTTGCCGCGTTTGCTTTTCTGGCTGCGTTGGGGAGATACTGGGGGAACTGCTGCACGAGTCGTGGGAGCACAGGTGACGGGTGTACAAGGGCGTGTGTGGACAGGACAGGCCATCACGTTTGGAGTCCTGAAGAGCCATTCCCCCCTCATCGCGTTGTTTGGGTTTACGTGATGCTTGGCCAGACTGAGCGATCGGGTGGGTACGCGATCTAGTAGGCTCCACGTGGTGACGACATCCAGCCACCATGGTCGACGACTCAGCCGAGATCATGGTTGCGTGATCTTCCCACAACGGCTTGCCCGTCATCGTTGCTGTGCAAAGGCCTTGCTCCTGGGGACAAGGCGTGGCCCGAGAATTGTGGGGCTCGCTGGTTTTGTACCTGTTGTCGGGGCCTTGGGATGACCGCCCTTGATAATGAGGCGGAGAAGGAGGAGGGATGATGGTGTTGCTGTTGCTGTTGTGACTGGGTGGGGCTGGTGACTCACACCTGCTTCTCAGAATGGGGTGCCCTGTTGCACCTTGGCCAGTCGAGACGAGAGTTGGATGATCGTGGTTGCCCTTTTCCTTTTCCCGTGGTGTGCGACCGAGGCACAAGCCCATGGCCCTGCTTGCTTGATTACTTTGTTAGTGGCGGGCACAACCAAACCTATCTAACTCTGCCGCCACACACGCATACTTTTGGTCCAATAGGGCTCTGATGACGTGGATCGATCCCTGAATCAACGCAGCTCCTTGACGGGCTCCTGGGTTTTGGTTAGTGAGGTGGATGTTTGAGTTTTTGTCGTTTGCTTATGCGGGGCTCAGTAAGTTATTGTAGAAAAGTAGCGGATTATCGTTGTGGCACTGGGCCTTGACAAATGTGTTTTATCGTGGTGTGATGACTCTCGATAAGCTCTTGTGGTGCCCAGTGGGCAGCGATGCGTGCCTCTGGGACCTGTTTGCTCCTACTTGGGCCTTAACGCCGCTTGTAGATGCAGGGCTGCAAGACTTGCTGCGTTTGTTGACTGTTGCGGATTAGCTGGCGACGACCCGGCGTGCGCATCCGCACAAACTCGTAGTCAACAAAGTGCGTGTTTCGGGCATCCTACATCATGTGTTGTGCCCGTCATTGTCCATGTGTCAGCGTCGAGCATGCATGCGTAACGGGAAGGACATGCGCACGTGGGAGCAGATCGAGGCGCGCGAGGCCCCCGCAAAGGCGCAAACAGACCTCGCTCGTCAGTTCAAACCCCACGTCTTGAACCATGCGCACAAACGCGCTGCTTTCGCCGATCCGACTCTTGACCTGCTCACATGATGGCCAGGCGTTTTGATGAGCTTTTGCATCACCCTGCAACTAAACAGAAAAAAAAGGAAAAAACAGAGAGAGAGAGAGAGAGAGAGAGAGAAAGAAAGCAAGAAAGCAAGAAAGCAAGGCTCGCTCGTGGCGACGCACCTCGGCAATTTTCAAGATGCCACGCGGCTTCAGAATGCGAAAGGCTTCCAGCAGGTAGTCGACATAATTGGTGCCCATCAATGCCTGCCACCATCAGCAGCAACGCGCAATGTCACCCAAAGCCAAGGCAGACCAAGTCGATTGTGCGACCACTGGCGGCGGTTCTTGAGATCAACGCACCAGGCAAAAGATGCAGATGTCAATCTTTTCATCCGCCAGAGGCACATGAGCAATGTCACATGCCGTCACTGGCTCCGTCCAAGGAGTGACAAGCAAGACAGGCAGAGCGACTGATATGAGAATGTGCGCACTCGCGTTCTGAACACCAGGCTCCAAACAACCTGCCAATCTTACCGCTCGGGTTGGCCGCCACAAGATCAAAGGAATGAACCTTGTTTGGGACGCTGCGAGTTGGCAGCAGCAAGGCCATGCCGACGCAGTGGGTGCGATGAGCGACGATGGGCTACGCGCTTGAACATGCTCACGAGATCCACCCATCCACGCCAGCAAGCACGCCACTTTCTACCCCTCGGGTCACCGACTTCAAGCTCGATGCTCAGAAAGTGGCCTGGACAACGGGCGCCGGCTCAAAGGCTTCAACTCGGACACAGGCAGAAGACACGCACAATCCCTGGCACTCCATGATGTAGGATGGGTACTGACCTGGCACCAAGCTTGGCCTCGCCGCAGCCCATGTCGGCCACCACCAACTTGGCGGGCTTTTGCAACACAAACTCGATCATCCGACTATGCAAGAAGGACACGAGGTGCGACGGTGAGATGGAGCTGGGGGTCAGAGGCAGCCGAGCGTGCAGAACAGCGGCACGCGCTTCTGCCTTACTCTACGGGGTTGACGGGCCAGCGCTGAACTTGGGTTGCAAAGCCCTTGTGGTAGACGTCAAAGAGTTCTGGTGATTCCTTGAACCAGCGAAAGGCGTCATCGCCGGTGGTGGTATAGAGCTAAAGACCCCGATGACTGCCGGTGAGCGGGCGGTGCAAGGGGGCGAGCATGAAGCCGCAGGCACGGGAGGTTCTGGGGAAATCACCTTTTCGTTTAACATGCGAAAGCGGGCGCCTTGCAAT